GTATTGTGCCGTGTCTTGTTGCGATTCTATCTTCCTGTTTTGCGATGTACTGGTGTATTTAATAGTGACCTTTCTACAAATTCACGCCCGTCTCTCTGGCGTAGTTGGCTAAACCGGATTGCGCGGTGAGCTGGTGACGAACTACTTGTGGTCCGGGTTCGCTCACGGGGGTGGGCAAAAAAGCCACATTTTCTCCCAGATTTACGGTATTTACAATGGAATCAAGGCCGAAAGGTTGCGATATCCATAATACCGAGCCTAAGGGTTAACAACTCATGGCTTCTGGATACTAAAACAAACAAACAAAACACAACTACAAAACCATGCATATGCCACGATTAGCAATATATGGAAGTCAGATGGACAACACTTATCAAATTATAGAAGTAATAAAAAAAATATGTTTCAGCTGTGAGGTTTTTGGAAAGGAACAGCTGGAGTAGCACATGCACTAGAATCTTTCCGACATAAAAGTCTAATAATAAAAAATATAAGGAAATCTTGGCCACAAATGATAACAAATGAAGAACTAATGATGCAACCAGGATATACACAGCTGCCCACCTTTATGGAAGGTAGAATATGGCGATGGTATAGACATTATTGTAGAGCGTTGCATGTCTCTTTGGTAACTTTCTTAAAAAAAACGAAGAAAAAGGAGGAGAAGGAGGATTAGAAGAAGAAGAAAGAAAAAAGAAGAAGAAAGAAAAAAGAAGAAGAAGAAGAAAGAAAAAAGAAAAAGAAGAAGAAAGAAAAAAGAAGAAGAAAGAAAAAAAGAAGAAGAAAGAAGAAGAAAGAAAAAAAGAAGAAGAAAGAAGAAAGAAAAAAGAAGAAGAAAAAGAAAGAAAAAAGAAGAAGAAAAAGAAAGAAAAAAGAAGAAAAAAGAAAAAAGAAGAAAAAAGAAAAAAGAAGAAAAAAGAAAAAAGAAGAAGAAAAAGAAAGAAAAAAGAAGAAAGATAAAAGAAGAAGAAGAAGAAAGAAAAAAGAAGAAAAATTCTCAAGATGAACATAATGATGACAGTGATGTTGAGGTTGACAACGAAGACGACGACGATTATCATAAATGCAAGCAACAACAAACCATAAGAATAGTAATAATAATAACAATAATAAATCAACTTCAAGGATAATTTTGCTTTTTCTGGTCTGTCTCCAAAAGAACAACCTGATCTCTCGTTTTCGGAGAAACTACTGTCAGAGCTCTGGCCTCAGTCACAGCTGGTCATCGTCATTATGTGCAGTGTGGCAGTTGCTAGCGTTGTCGTCATCATGTGCCTTCTGCTGTTGGTCAAAAAGGCATGCAGCTCGACAGAAGAAGAGGATGTTGACTGACCAGCCTGGGACAAATGGTAAATTTCTTTCATTGTTTACATTGTCTTCTATTTATGTTTCTCCTTCTTTTTATTTATCTTCTTCTTCTTTTTCTTCTTCTTCTTCTTCTTCTTCTTCTTCTTCTTCTTCTTCTTCTTCTTCTTCTTCTTCTTCTTCTTCTTCTTCTTCTTCTTTTTCTTTTCTTCTTCTTTCTTCTTTTTCTTCCTGCCCCTTCCTCTTTCTCTTTTTACTCCGCAACCCCCTTCTCTTGTTCTACTTTTTTTTCTTTTTTTTCTTCTTCTTCTTCTACTTCTTCTTCTTCTTCTTCTTCTTCTTCTTCTTCTTCTTCTTCTTCTTCTTCTTCTTCTTCTTCTTCTTCTTCTTCTTCTTCTTCTTCTTCCTCTTCTTCTTCTACCTTCTTCTTTACTCTTCTTCTTTACTCTTCTTCTTCTTCTTCTTCCTCTTCTTCTTCTTCTTCTTCTTCTTCTTTCGTCGTCTTCTTCTTTTTCTTCTCCTCCTTCTCCTTCAGCTGCGTTTTCTTCGTCTTGTTCTGCTTCTTTCTCCCAATGGCACATAGTAGTCGTTGCGCTCAGCTCTTTCCAGATTCTTCCCATTTGTTGCGGTTCACTGTTTGATTCACTCTAGTTGGTACACTCCTGCTTTCATAGCTCTGAAATCGTAATCTCTAATGCATGTGCATTATAATAATATAGCTATCAGTTGTGGTGACCACGTGTGTTTGGTGTAACACCATATTCTTTTTACTGAGGATAATTGTTAACAAAATTTTGGCTGGAAAGTCAGGTGGCACACAACTCGTCCTCATCAACTTTACTTATGATTCCCTTTGGTGTTGTTTCCCCTGAACAATTTGCAACCTTAAACTACATGTCTAATGTTGTTTACTGTCACCCTGTTAAAAAGTGAGTCGAAAATCTCTGCGGCAATGCTTAGAAAATTCTTCTGAAATAGACTGGAGATGATGTTCACAGTAGACGCGGAATAACCAACATAGAGCTTTCTAACTCATCTCTGTGTTGAATGATGGCTTAAGACTTGACGTCACAGCACTCAGGACACTTCCATAAGCGCTCCATCGCAATCTTCAGCCTCAGAAGCATAGATCCAATTGCAATGGTACAATAGCAGTCCGACTGTATATCCGTCACGCCTTTAACTTGAATGTTGGGCGTCGGCCAGATGCCCTGGTAGCTCCTCGCAACTCCATTTTTATCAGACCGTAATGATCTATTTGTGATTCCTAACATTTTGCTTGCTCCTAAAGGGCCCTGATAAAGTCTAGCGTGACATATATTAATTCACTAGCAAGTGTTGCAGAACAAAGCAGTTTGTCTACATTCTCGTTTCCCAACACACCGACACAAATCTAGATAAAATATCAAAAGGACACAAAATACTGACTAGGACCTATGAAGCGAAGATTGCTAGTCTTCTTAAAGCATATCTATCCTTTTCTAACATGAGCTGTGAGTCAGTTACAGTTACAGCATCTGTGTAGAACTGATTCTGAAGCCAGCGGTGACTGCCTCAGCCTAAATGATTTAAACCAGACGTTATGATATTATATGCCATCATGTTATACCCTGCGATGAAGGCTTTGGTATAAACTTTCGGTTGTATTAGTATGCGTCTTTTCCGTTCCCTCTGTTGAGCTTTCTAGTCACATTTTGTGGTATATTTAGCATGTCATATGCCAGGTTTTGCTGCAGTAAGTGAAGTCCATTCGCTTTTGCTATGATTCCCATTCACTTTTTCTACCACTCAACACAGAGCTATGTGTATAGATAATTACATCACCTAGGCATAAACTGTCTTGAATAATTTAGGACTTCTGATTTTGCAGGAGCAGGCTGGCCAGTCACTGCACTCACGTCCTATAATTATTAGAAACCTACACAAATCTGATTTTTGCTCTGACACTTTGACCCACTCCTCTCCTTGCCAATATGTATCAAGCCTGCACACATTTATAATTGTGTCTTCAGCTTGGGCCATTCAAGACATTCCTCTTTCCAGTCTCCAACCCGTAGTTCTACCCAGGGCTTCATACAGAAGGTGCTTCTTGTCTTCAGCCACTTTGATATATGACTTTTCCCGCAGAACTATGTCCCGTATGCAATAGAAGGCAGTGCAAGTATATATCGCATATATACTACTGGGGTATGTAGTGTACATTCCAGAATTACAAGCATAGCTTCATTCTCTATGCGTTTTATTTTCATTAGCTGACTATCAAAGGAGAAGTAAGACGCCTCCTTTCCTCCGCTAGTCTACGGGACACCCTTGGGCAAGGTGGAGTACCCGTTTAGCCCCCCAATCAGGGTTACGTGAAGCCATGGAAGCAGGTGGTGGATGGAGTGTAAGAGCAGCCGACAGGTATTGTTGGTTATGGTCTGCACTCTGCGGCGATAGGCAGATGATCTCATCAGTAGAGACAATGGCTATGGACACCGACTAGTATAGTCACTGCTCAGGAGGAAAGCAACGGCAAACTACCTTCTGCAAATTTTGCCAAGAATACATAACAATCATGAAAGAAAACATAACACAGAAGAGATCTGGTGGTGAGACCCCCAGGCCAGGCAGATCAGATAACACTGGGGAAGAGTGTGATACAGGGGTCAGTACTAGTAATCGTGTTGACGGAGTTAATCCTGACTGTGTTACCAAGGAAATCCACTGTGTCAGACTAAGAAACAGAAAGCGAATAGGAACGTGGAATGTGAGAAGTCTGTATGAAGGAAAGCTTAAAGTAGTATGTGATGAGATTGAAAGATTAAATATTCAGATCTTAGGAATTTGTGAACATCGTTGGAGTGGCAAGGGACATTTTATCAATGAATATGGAAGCTTTTTCGTATATTCTGGTAGAGATGTAAGAGGCCAGAGCGGAGTGGCATTTTGTTTAGATAAAACAACAGCAAAAGCTATTATGGGATATAATCCAGTTAGTGATAGAATCCTAACTATCAGACTTAAAGGCCGTCCAAAAAACATAACTTTCATGCAGGTATATGCACCAACTTCAACAGCAGATGAGGGCGAAATTGAAGATTTTTATGCCATACTGCAAGACACATTAAATAAAATTAATAAGAATGATATAATAATAATAATGGGAGATTTTAATGCTAAAGTAGGTACAGGCAGAGCTGAAAATGAGAGACACGTCTTAGGAAAATTTGGATTGGGTAATAGAAATGAAACAGGAGAAAAATTGATTGAATTTTGCATAGAAAATGAATTAACAATAGCTAACACACTTTATAAACAACACCCTAGAAGGCTTTTCACATGGACATCCCCTGACGGTGTTACCAAAAATCAGATAGATTACATTTTAATACAAAGAAGATGGAGATCGAGCATAACATCTGCAAAAACCCTGCGAAGTGCAGATTGCGATACAGATCATCAGTTACTAGAAGCAGATCTGAAATTAAAACTCAAAAAGCTTACCCGAGGACCAAGGCCATTTCGATTTGATCTCACAAAAATACCAGAAGCATACAACATAGAAGTAAAGAACCGTTTTGAGGTCTGGATGTCTGTACAAGAGGAAATGACACCTGATGAACTGGCGGTACAAGCTAGGGATATCTTGATAACAGCAGCTAAAGACATAATACCCACCAGGACTAAGCAACATAAACCATGGATCACACCAT